CACATGTTTCTGTCTATACATATAAATAAATTTGAAGTGTCTGTTTGTAATATTGAAATAACCGGATTTTACTATATGCATATGAATACAAATACGGTACATACACCAAAATAACATTTTTTACAATTTTTTCTGTCTGTCTGTCTGTTTGTTCCGGTGAATCTCTGAAATGGCTAGACCGATTCTGATGGGACTTCCTTTGACCAGTAACTCAAGTAATAAGGAGTAACTTAGGCTACTTTTATTTTAGAAAAATAAAGTTAAATTCCACGCGGACGAAGTCGCGTATACAGGTTACTAATAAAAATAGAATCATCCTTTATTGAAATAAACTTAATTTAAACACTTTTGAATAGTCATAACAATTTTTTTAAACTACCGCTCATTCGGAAAGCTGTCTCATCACAAGAAGAACTAGCAAGACTTGTGTGTTGCTCTTTTAAATAATCCTTGTAATTTTACATTTCCAATTCAAAACAAAAATACAAACCACCAACTTGTACTAATTGATGTTGGTTTTGTTGGATCGGTTTTATAATGTTTTATTTTTTAATCTTAAAAAATATCACAATTGTTTTTTTATTTGTTTCATTTAATTCCGGCTACATGCCCCATATGATAAATGCCTTATAAACGAACATACATAAGAAATAATAATATATATATATAAAAGGCAATCTGATAATCTGATAATTATGACTATTCAAAGCTGCTTAAATTAAGTTTATTTGAATAATTGATTTTTGTTCGCGCCATCTATTGACGACTGGGCGCAAATAAAACTAACGGCGTGATGTTGGCAACAAACGGCTCTTGGACACAATTTAAAAAACACAACATCATAGTTTGTACCATTGTAACAAAATTATAAAATAAAAAATAATAAACGATACCGAGAGGAAAGGAAATGACCCTTATTTCAATCAATTTTTTATTCCATTCTAACCCTAAACAGACCGAACAGGGTCAAACTGACCGGCCAATTAAACAATAGCTACAGTTAATCTGTTGAATTCTTACGATTTACCAGTTTAACCCTAAACTGCCATGTTTGCGTACACACTTAGCGTACCGCACGGCTCGTTCGGGCCGCAATAAAATGTATCCTCGCCGAGACTGCTAAATGGCAAATAACTGGCTTCTCGCCGCTAAAATATTGGAAATATTGGACGCATGTTTGTCTCGGGCCCGTGTGTGTTTTTACTATTATGAACTGGTATACCTATACGTGATTTTTACTCACTTTACATTGTTTTTTTTACACTGTTCTTAATTTAATAGTAAGACGAGTTGTTCCTATCATTGTAAACACGACGACCAAATCGTAAACATATATGTTACTTGTATAGATAGATAGATAGATGACTTTAAGTACATTAATAACTTTAATTGACTGCCTTGGTGGTTCGGTTTAGCATATCGCCTTATTTGCTATGGTAGCGGGTTCGATTCCTTGCACGATACAAACATTTGTATTCATGAGTATGATTTTTTTGTATCGGTCTGGGTGTTTTCTATATATTACTTGTTACTCCTATATACGTATATTTTGAACTTAAATAGAATAGAATAGAAAATCAATTATTCAAATAAACTTACATTGAAGCACTTTTGAATAGTCATTACATTTTTTTAATCTACCGCTCATTCGGAAAGCTGTCTCATCACAAGAAGAACAAGAAAGAAACTTGCGTGTTGCTCTTTTAAATGATTTTATTATTACTTTACATTTTTAAGTTTAAGTGTGAATACAAACCACCAATTAGTACTAATTCAATTAAATACTCAAATAGAAAATTTATTGAATATATAACCAACTGGTTAAACAATTAATAAGAGGAAATCAGTCATAGTGATTAGAGCAGACCAGTACCTACAATCCTTACAATTGAATTTAATGTGACGGATTATATCTATTTTTATTACAGAACCAATGTGTTATAACCTTATAGTTAAAATCTTAGTTAAGTAAGTATTGTAACAACGAAGAAATCCAGTGTAAATAAATCTTGAATCTAACCCTCTAATGGTTGCATTAGTAAAAATAATGCCCATGGGTAGTTTCTACCCCTACGATTTATAAATCAATCAACCACTCCCCTTTCTGCTGCTTTGTATTTATTAGTTACAGTTGTATCGGATTAGATGTAAATTTTACTATCACATCATTATGATAAAATATTACTCAGATTATTTATTTTACTAGCTTTTGCCCGCGACTTCGCTTGTGTGAATTTATCCCCTTAGGGGTGGAATTTATCATCCTTTCTTAGTGGGATGCCTACGTCATAGTAGCTATGCTTATGCATGCAAATTCTCAGCCCGATTGGTTTAAAATTGATAAACTTTCATCCCCTATTTTATCCTTTTGGGGATAGAATTAATCAAAATCCTTTCTTAGCGGATGCATACGTCATAACATCTACCTGCATGCTAAATTTCAGCCCGATCCGTCCAGTGGTTTGGGCTGTGCGTTGATAGATCACTATGTCAGTCACCTTTGAGTTATATATATATAGATTTATTTAATTGTAAGTCACTACATTAAAAGTTACCGCAAACTTACAAATACACTTGCAAGAACAATTCCTTATTACTTATTAATATTTTTTTTACTGTGATGTATGATATTTCTTCTATTTTATTGCCTACAATAATATAATCATTATGATATTGAAAACAGTGATTAACATTTTTCATGCCATACATTAGAACTAGCTACTCGCCGTAGCTAGTTCTAATGTATGGCAGGGGGGTACATGTATTATATATATAAACCTTCCTCTTGAATCACTCTATCTATTAAAAAACCGCTTCAAAATCCGTTGCGTAGTTTTAAAGATTTAAGCATACATGGGGACAGACAGCGACAGCGACTTTGTTTTATACTATGTAATTATTTAAGTTGTTAGATAATATATTAAAAAGTTTAAGCACTGACATAACTTTATAATGAAATCATTTATTTTATTAAAACGTTTAAGTTGAAGTTAAAATATTTAATTACAAAAATGCTATCTACTTATACATTATATGTAGGTATATATTATTATATAGGTATATTAAATATACCATAGGTATACTAAAAGTTACAGTAAACTACCAAATACAGAATAGAATAGACAAGAAAAAACATTTATTCAAATAAACTCAATTTAAGCACTTTTATTTTTATTTATTTATTTATATAACTTTAATGCACACAGTACAAAAGTAACAGTACATTTGGCGGACTTAACACCATGCGGTATTTTCTACCAGTCAACCATAGGCAGTACAGAGAAAAATTGTTGGCGGTGTAAAAATAATCATAACAAAACAAAACTAAAAGACAAGGCATAAAAAGTGATATAATAATATTTATACTATTACAATTACAATAATACATAAATATAAATATACATACATATACATAGAAGGAGTGTATAAAAGTTTTGAATAGTCATAACAAATAATACACTTGCAAGAACACTTTCTTATTAGCTATTATTAAATTTTTTACTGCGCTGTTGTTGGCGACCGAGCGCCGAACTCCTATTATATATATATTATATTATTTTTATATTTATATAAATATTTTTAGAACAGTTCTTTTTTGTATATCATATTATTGGATATACTTCACTTTATTCACGCCTCGTACTTATTATATTGTAATTATTTATATAAAAAAAACATCTATTCAAAAGAGCAACACACAAGTTTCTTGCTCATTCTTCTTGTGATGAATCTACGTTCCGAATGAGTGGTAGAATCAAAATATGACTATTCAAAAGTGCTTGTGATGAGTTTATTTGAATAAAGATTATTTCTATTTCTATTTATTATTCACTCTTTGTTTTTAGATAGTTCGCAAATGTATTTCAATATGTTATATTGTTTCACGCGGACGAAGTCGCGAACAGCTAGTCTGTATATAATAATAGGTACAATGAATTGAGAAGGAATTACACCGAACATAGTAAACGAGCATTTTATATGTTTACATTTTTAGACAATGTAACTTTTTATATATATTTATTTAGTACAGACAAAAATTGTAAAAAATGTTATTTTGGTGTATGTACTGTATTTATATTCATATGCATGTAGTAAAAAACGGTTATTTCAATATTACAAACAGACACTCCAATTTTATTTATATGTATAGATGACGCATGTCATTGTATACCTAATATAAAACCACAACAATGTAGTTTGATATATATTATTTATATCCTGCCTTCCTATTTATATTATATTTAGTAGCTAATTATTTATACATATATAAAAAAAAACAGGTTATGTTGAGAATAAATGTAATAATATGTAAATTTATTGTAACATTTATATATCACCAGCTACCCACCCCGGCTTTGCATGAGTGTACATGTATTATGTGTATATATGTATATATACAAACCTTCCTCTAGAATCACTCTATCTATTACAAAAACCCGCTTCAAAATCCGTTGCGTAATTTTACAGATTTTAGCATACATAGTGACGGACAGACAGCGACAGCGACTTTGCTTTATACTATGTAGCTAGCTACTACTAGATTTTGCCCGCGGCTTTGCTCGCGTTAATATATCCCCCTTAGGAGTGGAATTTATCAAAATCCTTTCTTAGGGGATGCCTACGTCATAGTAGCTTTATGCATGCAAAGTCTCAGCCCGATCGGCTTAAAATTGACAAAGTTTCATACAAACTTTCATCCTCTATTTTATCCCCTTAGGGGTAGAATTAATCAAAATCCTTTCTTAGCGGATGCCTACGTCATAACATCTACCTGCATGCCAAATTTCAGCCCGATCCGTCCAGTGGTTTGGGCTGTGCGTTGATAGATCACTATGTCAGTCACCTTTGAGTTATATATAGGTATTTAGATAATGATAACAAATTAACAGACTTTTTTCTTACTTTCTATAGTAACTAGGGTTATTTCTAGTTTAGGTAGCTACCTATAAATGACTTCTAATTCTCTGATATATAATAAGTACATAGTCCTGAGTACTCACTGGGCATCATCTCGACATGTGATGAAGTGTCCATGATGTTGTGATGATGCATCATATCGGGTGGGGACTGCACCAGCCCACCACCACCACCGCTGGCCATCACCATCACTGAAGATGATGAAGAAGATCTTCACCGATGATCACGTTATATTAACGCCTTTACAAACCAAACGTCTGGTCCCTAGATTTGTAGTTTGTGTTACCTTTCTTTTTAATTTAAAATATATATAACTTTAGATTTACTTTAATATGGTGTTATCGTTTACTAAGATTGCTTTAAAATTTTATTTTATTATTTATAAACGCAATATTATTTACAGGTTATATATCACATCAACATATTGGTACCTATAATTTGTCTATTATCTATGAAAACACTTAAAAAGAGTATGTTTCAATAACACTATTGTTTTGTCACAAAAGGAATACACCAAAATTTTCATTTAGACTAATATTTCACTAATTTTTGTCCGGAGGCACTTCGACATTTTATACAAAAAGAATGTATTATAGAGAATAACATTAGGTCCTCTCGCGTCGGCGGTCAAGCCCACACTGCCGTGTATATCTATAACTCTATGGATCGACGCGAAAGCGCATGAGCGAACCAATCTGCAACACCATTGGTGGAATAACAGAACGCCTTTTCAAAACAGCGTCGCTGATTGGCCGGCAGCTTCCCATTTTCCCGCCCTAATCGACTGTACCCTCACAAAATGGCGCCCCCCTATAGCCTTTTGATGCTTTTTTGAACATTTTCTTCGGTAAAAAATAATCCGGTTCGAATATAATGAGCATGATTTATGGTTTTGATCCGTGAGCTCCTTTTTCTGACTTTATTTTTTAATCTGGCCATGTTAATCTTTCGTGTTTTAGGTGGTTTGTTTTTGATTAATCGCGACTTGATTTTTGTTTAATCTTTAGCGAGTCGAATATTTCTTTTCGTTGTTATGACAAATATCGATTTAGCGTTGTAAATGTTAGTGTTGTTATACCTCTTAGTACATCTTCAACTCGACTACAGGGTAACACTCTACCTACAATTGAAATTAAAACAAAATAAATAATTATATATTAAAATACGCAATTTGGACATCATAGGACATTTGCGAGTTAACGTTGCGCAGTGTTATAGCGCGTGCCGATCGATTTTGTACTTTAATTACTGTCTAATTAAGTTTCAACCGATGATATCTATGTAAATGTTTATTGTTTATAGGCAATTGTTTTTTTTTTAATTTATGATCTTAGTTATTATACGGGCAAAGACAATTTTATTATTTTTATATTGGTATACCTGATGCCTATAGATATGTTTTTATAAGATGTTTAGATATTGTGGTTTTTATATAATAGGTATATAGGTACTGCCCTATAGTTATTGACTAGTTGATCCCATGACTTCGTACCTACATCTTGAAATAATGATAGTTTATAAATTCTTTGTTAGTAAACCGATTGGAATAAAATAAACAGATTTTTTTTTCTGAAGCCTACTACAATACATTAATGAAAATCGTACTCAAATAAGTTAAGCCCTTACTGAGATTAACCCGCACAAATAAACTGACAAACAGACAAAAATTCTAACAATAATTATTGATCTATTACGTTTATTGGGTGTTCCAATAGGTTTACTACTAGACTAGATTACTAGATTACTACTTACTAATAGATTTTCTCATAGGTAGGTATACATATATCTTCAATATTACTCTCTGTACCTACAGACAACGATCAATTGTGTTTTTATTATAAAGGTAGATATATGTAGACGGCCTCATGGTCTAGCGGTTTAGCACACCGCCAAACTTCCGATGGTCGCGGGTTCGATTTCTCGCACGGTGCCAACGTTTGTATTCAAGAGTAGGAACGATCCGAACGATCGGTCTGAGTGTTTTCTATGTTATATTTTATACTAGCTGTTCCCGCGACTTCGTTCGCGTAGAATTTAACTTTATTTTTCTAAAGTAAAAGAATATTTCTAAAATAAAAGTAGCCTAAGTTACTCTTCACTCTTCATTACATCAGCTACCTGCCAAAAAAAGGTCCAGCCATTTCAGAGATTAGCCGGAACAGACAGACCGACAGACAGACAGAGAAAAATTGTAAAAAATGTTGTTTTGGTGTATGCGTCGTATTTATATTCATATTACCTAATGTAGTAAAAAACGGTTATTTCGATATGACAAAGAGACAAAAATGTATCTATGTATTTAATTCTTATCAGTTGTCTAGTACCCATAACACAAGCTCTGTTTAACTTGAAATAAGATAATGAAATAATTATAACACCTTTTTTTATGCGGAGTTATTTTCTCTACAACTTTTATTTAAAACGTCTTGTCATGTTTCTTACCGTTATCGAGTTATTTTGAAAAAACCCCTTTTTTAATTTCACAAATTACTGGACTTATTTTTTAATATTTCGCCAAAACTGGTCACAATATGGTTTAAATTAATATTTTATTGAACTAATCTTATTAATTAATATTATAAACGCGAAACTTTGTGGGTTTGTCAGATACTCTATCACGCAAAAACTACTGAACGGATTTTTATGAAACTGTACAGTAATGCATCTCATACATTAGAATAATATATAGGCTATAAATTTCACGCAAGTGAAATCGCGAGCACAGCTAGCACCTCATATAGGTACCTCATTAAAACTCTTGTCAATTTTCCACTAATAAGTATGTCTACGTGTGAGGTGTCTTGTAAAAAATAGATAACAAAAATCCCCTTTGGCGCCAAATGTTCGCGCCAACTGTCATTAGGACTGCGAGCCATAGATAAAAGATGGCCACAGACGATAAAGTTATCTGCGGAATTTGGCAGATGTGTTGATTGAGATTTTAAAAAGCAAAACCATCTCTATGGTCACCATGATAAGAGTTACGCAAAAATAATGAGAGATACCTTACTTAGATAGTAGAATATATCAGTAGGTACCTATTTAGGTATACAACGGAAGGAAATTAAAAAAAGTTTGGCGACAGGTATACAACTTATTTAAAAGAGCAACACACAAGTTTCTTGCTTATTCTTCTTGTGATGAATCTGCATTCCGAATAAGCGGTAGAATAAAAAAAACTTGAATAGAATAGAATAGAAAATCATTTATTCAAATAAACTTAATTTAAGCACTTTTGAATACGCAACATTTTTTTAAATCTACCGCTTATTCGGAAAGCTTTCTCATCACAAGAAGAATAAGCAAGAAACTTGTGTGTTGCTCTTTTAAACAATCCTTGTAAGTTCACATTTTACAAGTCGTAACGTGTGAATACAAACTACCAACCAGCACTAATTTATTTAGTCTCAAATATAAAAACACAATAAGATTAAATCAGTCGTAGTGATAACAGCAGCCCAGTCCCTACAAGCAGCACTCGTTCACGAGTATGACGGATGAGCCAGCCATCACTGCGTTCGACCATATTTTAGGAAGCCCAATGACCCGGCCTACCACGCCGCCACATGTCTGGACATTTTAGTGAGCATGACTACTCATTCCACTCGACCACGTCACAACTACAAAAAAAAGAAAAAGAAAATTAAAATAAAAATAAATATTACATCACAATAAAGTTATATTTTTTTATCTGCACATTAGGAAAACAAGAAAAAAACCCTTTACCTAGCTGAAGATTCCATCCACTTAATAGAGGTGCTCAATAATTACTTATCTAATAATTAAAACATGAAATTTTATTTAATAAAAAAATTCAGAAACCAAATTTCAAAATATTTATCACACAAGGGGAGTCTAACAATTGTTACTGTTATAATGACAAGTCAAAAATAACGAAATTAATAATATAACATAATAATAATAACTGAGGACAATTCACACAGCGCCATCTGGTCCCAAGTTAAGCTAGCTAAAGCTTGTGTTATGGGTACTAGATAACTGATACAAATACATAGATATATTTGTTTTTCGTAAATACATACATATTATACCTAGAAAACATACAGACCGATACAAACAATCATACTCATTAATACAAATCTGTGTACTGTGCGATGAATCGAACGCACGACCATCGGAAGTAAGGTAGAGTGCTAAGCTAAACACTAGACCACCGCGGCCGTCAAAACCAATTTTTTTTTATTTATTTATTTATTTACTTATATAACTATTATTACAGGCCTAAGCCCAACAATTTATACAACGATGGTGGTAAACAATCATACGGCCCATCTGATGGTAAACGGTTACCGTAGCCTATAGACGCCTGAAACACCAGGGTTATCACCTGCGAGTTGCCAACCCTCCGTATGCCGTAAATTAAAAGATAAATGACGTAAATTAAAAGATGAATAATGAGATGAATGATAAAATTAAGAGTAAATGACCCCTAAGCTATAGCTGTATGTGATCCAGGTACTCAGAGCCGTAAAAATTTTTATTTTTATCTCAGGACAATTCACACAGCGCCATCTAGACCCACGTTAAGCTACCTAAAGCTTGTGTTATGGGTACTAGATAACTGATACAAGTACATAGATATTTATTTTTTCGTAAATACATACATATTATACATGGAAAACACCCAGACTGATACAAACAATCATACTCATGAATACAAATGTTTGTGCCGTGCGAGGAATCGAACCCGCGACCATCGGACGTAAAGCGGTGTGCTAGACCGCTATACCACCGAGGTCGTCAAATTCCCCAGTTAATGGATAAATCCATTGCTCTCATAAACTACCCTACACAGAGCGAATGAATAGTCGCCAATCAATAATCGTCCGGCCATTTCCGGCGGTCAGCCGCTTCCCGTTTCCGGTTCCGGTCTTCCTACAAGCTACTTGGCAGAGGGGAATTAATTCCTTTGTCTTGTTTTAAATACAGAAATATGCTTGATTTATGATACTGCGTCTTCTGAGCTAGCTAGCAAACCGTGACTTCGCACGGGCCCAATATTTGAACGTATCTAGGCAACGGTTACCACTATCAAGCGACCCAATAGAAATAGAAATAGAAATAGAAATAATCTTTATTCAAATAAACTTTACTTTTTAAAGGATTTTGATTAATTCTACCTCCAAGGGGATAAAATAGGAGATGAAAGTTTGTATGGAACTTTGTCAATTTTAAACCGATCGGGCTGAGACTTTGCATACATAAAGCTACTATGAGGTAAGCATCCCATAAGAAAGGATTTAGATAAATTCCATCCCTAAGGGGATAATATAACGCGAGCGAAGCCGCGGACAAAAGCTAGTTAAGCTATGAAATGGTATAAATACAAGAACAGGATAGAAATAATCGTTATTCATATAAATTAGCATTTCTTAATAGTCATATATACATACTTATCCATTATTTCATATATACACATGTCGCATGGTGTTAAGTTCGCCAAATGTACTGTACTATGTACATATATATTGTATTGTGTGCATTAAAGTTAAATATATAAATAAAAAAAAAACTAATTTTGAATAGTCATATTTTTCCATATTATCCTATATACGATATTTACATACATTACATATTATATACGTCATATTTTTCAATATAGATCA